CATTCATTGTTCCATTTGATTTTGATTTATTTTGTATTGTGGTAAGAACACTAATAAGAGATTTACAGCCGGTACATTTTTAACAGTACAATGGGGTAGCAGTACCATTAACCCCAGCACAATGTTGTACGTCTCTCTAGAAATTTGTTATCTTCCATAACTAAAACTTTACACCCCACTAAATTGTGAATCCTCATTTCCCTAACCCCTGAACATAAGTATTCTACATTTTACATCTGTCAGTTTGACTATTTTGGATACTTTTCATAAATGAAATCAAGTGTTATCTGTCTTTCTGTGACCAGTTTACTTCCCTTACGGCAATGTCTTCAACGCTCATCTATGATGTCATAAATGGCAGAATTTCCAGAGCCACATTTTCTTTAACTACTCATCTGTTGCTGGACACTTAGGTTGTTTCCACATCTTGGCTATTGCCAATGATGCTGCAATGATCATGGGAGGGCAAATATTGCTTTGAAATCATGATTCAATTCTTTTAAATAAATATCTAGAAGTAGGATTGATAAATCATATGGCAGTTCTATTTTTTTTTAAGAACCTCCACACTGTTTTACATAGTGCCATACCATTTTGTATTCCTACCAAGAATACAAAGAAGTCCCAATATCTTTACATCCTTGCCAAAACTTTTTCTTTTTTGGATAACAGCCAGCCTAACAGGTGAGATGATATTGAAGCCACACTCAGTTACTGAGTGCTTCTGCACTGAGGCATTTGCCTCAATTGTATTTCTATTGTACTTTTAGGGGATTTACTATCTTCTAATTTACCTGTCAACATTTATTATATCTTTCCTATTGTTAATTTCTGAGAGCTTTTCTTTAATCTCTGAATTTCCTTTTTATGGAATCCTATTATTATATTATGATCTCTCTTTTAATATTCTTTCCATGTATGTGTTATGTATGTAGATAAACGCTGTTTTTTTATTATTTATTTTTTCTTTAGAGACAGAGTCTCACTATGTCGCTCTCGGTAGAGTGCTGTGCTGTCACAGCTCACAGCAATCTCCAGCTCTTGGGCTTAGGTGATTCTCTTGTCTAAGCCTCCCGAGTAGCTGGGAGTACAGTTGCCCACCACAACGCCCGGCTATGTTTTTGTTGCAGTTTGGCCAGGGCTGGATTCCAACCCACCACCCTCACCCAGCCCCCTACTGAGCCACAAGCACCACCCAATGCTGTTATTTTTTATAAATTGCCTCTTCATGTTCTTTGCCTATATTTCTATTAGAGTGGTATGTTAGTCCATTTTTACACTGCTCTAAAATAATACCCAAAGTTGGGTAATTTGTAAAGAGGCTTATTTGGCTCAGAATTCTGCAGATTATACACAAAGCATGGTGTCAGCACTTGCTTCTGGTAAGAGTCAAGCAGAAGGCAAAGGGGCAAGAGGTCTGTCACATGGCCAGAGAAGGAGCAAGGGAGAGGAAGGAGTGCCAGGCTCTTTTTAAACAAGCACCTTTGGTGTGAATAAGTACAAGAAGAGTTAACTCATTACTTTATGGAGGGCACCAAACCATTCATGAAGGATCTATCCCAAGACCCAAACACCTCCCATCTGGCCCCACCTCCAACACTAAAGATTGAATTTCAACATTAGATTTGGAGAAGACAAACATCTAAACTATATCACTCATCATTCATTCAATGATGACTTGTTAGTCTTATTAATTTGAAACAATTTTTTGTATGTGAAAGGCATTAACTCTTTGACATGTTACAATCTTTTTTTCTCTGTTACCTTGTTCTTAAGGCAATGTTGAAAGATGTTAGTGAAGATTAAAGATTATACTTTGATAGCTGTTAATATAGGCCAAATGTTTTATCTCCTTCCTTTTATAGAGAAATAGATAATAGTACTTAATACTTAATACCTTTTGAAAACCAACAATGTGCTAGGTGATTATAATAAGGCTACTCTCTGACTCAGGGGAGGTAACAATCCAGTAAAGATCATTTTCCCCTCGAATAACTGTTTACAGTAGAAGCAACTTTGGAATTCTTTTAATTTTCATTACTGAAAATATAAGGCCTGCTTGTATTTATAAATTAACAGAAAGTTAGTTTATAATAGAAAGTTAATTTATAAATAATCTAAACTTAAATTAAACACAATTAAACACAATTAAACTTGTCAAAAACTGACTCCTGCTTATATTTTAACTGAGGCTGGGTGCAGTGGCTCATATCTATAATCACATCACTTTGGGAGGCTGAGGTCAGAGATCACTTGAGGCTGAGAGTTTTGCCTAGGCAACATAGCAAAACTCCATTTCTACAAAAAAAAAAAAAAAGAAAGAAAAGAAAGAAAAAAGATTATTCAGGCCTGGTGGCAGGTGCCTACAGTCCAAGCTACTCCAGAGGCTAAGACAGGAGGATTGCCTGAGCCCAGGAATTCAAGGCTGCAGTGAGCTATGATCATACCATTGCACTCCACCCTGGGAAATAGACTAAGACCTTTTCTTTAAAAATAAGCACACCAACTAGCCTGCAATCTAAGAACTCACAAAGCATGATATAAAACAAGTTCTGAGTTGCTCTGGATAAAAACCACTTACCAAAGCAGATCTAAAAAGTGTTACACATGAACTTTTTTGATGGCCAAGTGCTAATTATTGAGGGTTAACAGTAGAAATCCAGAGACATAAATATACCTACCACTATAATTCTGAAAATCTCTATGGAATCTTAACTAAATGCCATGCCATGAACAAACAACTAAATTTTGAGCCTTCAACATCTGATGCTTACACATAAAATATATACAGTATTTCATGATTTGGTTTACAAATTATTTAGTAAGCAAACTCCTCCTTCCACCAGTGAAAAGAAAATCTACCCAAGTACCTGAAAAGAAAATCTTAAAAAGAAGCACATTATGTGTTAATAAGCACATTAACATCTTGGAGCTACAAAAAGGTATTTATTTAAGTTCACAGGAATTGGTTTGTAGACAAAAGTATGACAGGCTGGAAAGTATGCCTGAAGCTTGAAGGATCTATCACTGGTACTGGCAATGCTTCACAAGTAGAATGATGACTTGTTGGTTCAACACTAGATTATGAATTGATAGCATTCCATCACTCATAGACAATTAAAACTGCAGGAAATAGCTGAAGATTACATCAAAGCATCATAAATGTATGCCAGGGCCAGCCAATACTTCTGTTCCTATTCCAAATTACCCTTTCCACACCTCTGGGTTGACAACTGTTTCTTTCAAAACCAAGCAGAAGATGAATTAAGTCTGCCACTCACATGCATTAGTAGAAATAAACAAATTTATTTCACAGAAAAAAAAGAACAACTAAGAAACAGTGACATTAAGTGACTTAACCAAGACACAATGTTGGTTGGTGGTAGAATGAGTTTTTGAATCATATCAAGCTATTGCCAAATGAAAGGGAATTTTATTTTGAGCCTGGAGAACTAGAAAGATAATTTGAGAGAAAGGTTCTTCAAGAAAAGGTAACTCTGAGAGGACTCTACAAAAAGCATGAAAGGACTGGTACCTAGTATTTTCTGATGAGGTAAGTGGGAAAGCATTTAAAAGAAAAGGTTATCACCATCAAAATGAAAACAACCTCGAGAATGGAAAAACATTTTTGTAAATCATATATATGAAAGATTTATATCTACAATATAAAACAAACCCTTACAACAACAACAATCAAAGAACCCAATGTTTTTTAAGATAAGAAAAAGATCTAACAGAAATTTTTGCAAAAACATGAGTGGCCCACAGGAACAAGAAATGATATTCAACTTCGTAAATCATTAGGAAAATACAAATCAAAACTACAGTGAGATACCATTTCAAACTCCCTTGACTGGCTAAAATAAAGACGACAATAAAACATACTGGTGAGGTCACGGAGAAACCAGAACTCTCAAGGACATGGAAAATGGGGCAGTGGCTCTGGAAAACACTGTGGCAGTTCCTCAAAGGCTAAATAAACACAGAGTTATCATAGAATCCAGCAATTCCACTCTTAGGTACAAACTCAAGAGAAACAAATATATGTATACAGAAAGATTAGTACATGAATTTCATAGCAGAAATATCATTAGTCAAAAAAGTGGAAATCATTCAATTGCCCATCAATAGATGGATAAATAAAACACACAATTAACTACTGGGTTATAAATAGGAATTACATACTGATAGATACCACATAGATGGGCCTTGAAAACTATGCTAGTGAAATAAGCCAGTGAAAAGAGTTGCCAATAGGTGTTCCAACAGTTAAATTACTAAAATGGGCATTATGTGAACTGTATGCTGTAATACAAATTTGGAAATTTAGCGTGGGTTGCAGTGCATATTATTAGCTAGGACAGTTTTGCCCTAATTGTAGGAATGCCTTAATGAAGAAAACGAAAAATCTAATAATAGTGAAAAATAATTGTAAAACAATGGGTGTAGAGCAAATAATCAATTTAAAGGGAAGACAAACAATTTACAATTGGGAAGACTTTAAGCAAATTCCGGTCCTTGACAACAAGGGGTTGTGCAGAGACGGTGTAGATCAGTGGAGAAGGAGTAATTCATGTTCAAGGGGACACGAGTTGAATAATTTGCGGCAAAGAGGGTTAGTTGGAGACACGGAGAGAAACAGTACAGTGCTATCTAAAAGGTAAACCTGATAACAGTATTATCTTTTACTGATGTCTTAATCAAGGGTCAAAGGGCTGTTTTCCATTTCGTAAGGGTTTTTCATAAACAAAATACTACAACTCAACAGGTTAAAGTAGTCCTTCGAAGGAAAGTTAAAATCACACTGGATTACTACTTCCAACGACTGAATTCATTTTATGTCTTAGAAAAAAATGCAATAGTCGCACTTAAACATTTTATGACGAAGAACAAAAAATTCGTTTCTATTGGCAACGAAAGCTATGCACCGGCTGGGAAATTAAGGCGCCGAATTAGTCCCAGGCGGGCGGTGGGCGGTGGGCGCCGCGGATCGAACCTACCTCAAGTCACCCAAGGGACGAGGAGATGCGAAGGCATCCCAGGAACTGCATTTCTGCAGGTGAAGCCGGGTGGGGCGCTCACGCAGGGAGGCTGGCTGTGACCAGAACGCGAAGGCAGAGAAGCTGCGGCAGTCGAACCACCAGCTCACCGCGGTTCCTCCCAAACCCGCTCCGGGTTTCCATGGCTAACGTCAACTCCGGGCAGAGCTGAGCGGAACGCGCTCGGAGATGGGGCCGGGCGCCCGGCTCGCTCCGCCCCCAGCCTCAGCGCCCCGCCGTACCACCGTACGGGCAGGGAGGAGCGGGGCGAGAGGTTCGCTTTGTTAGCGCTTGGGCTGGGCCAAAGCTCGCCGGGCAACGGGATGCGGGAGTCCCTCCTTCTCTGGCTCCTCCCCCGAGACTGGGAGTCACATCTGCTGCGGAGAAAGGCCTCGCAGCGCAGTTCCTGAACTTTCACCCGGGCCGCACCCCTTTGCGTAAGAGCGTCGTTGTCGTGGTAACGTGACGTTCTTCCACAGGGCCCGAGCTCCCTGGTCTGAGCTCGAGTATCCGCCATTTTGCGAATGTCCGGTTACCTGAGGTTTGATGGCGGGCTTGTGGGTGTGGTGGGTTTTAACTGCTCAGCTTCTCCCTTCCACCATTACCGACAGCCACAGTAATGAATGTTTTTAATTGGTTCTTCCTGCGCCCTCTTTGGCTTGGAGAATTTGGAGCTGCATACACGAGCTTCCTGCCGCCCCTTTAGTGCATTTTTTTCCGTGAGTGGAATTGTGGCTGCACTTTTCCATGCAAGGAACCAACATGCCCATCTTAGAAATGTGTCGGTTAATAAAATAAGACCAAGTTCTCGTGTTCCATAAAAACGCAGTGGCTGTTACTAGCGTGGTATTAATTTCAGATGGAAGAGTTTTTCTCAGGCTGGCCACAGAGACCCGAATTATGCCACTTAAGAAGTCATCCTTATGCCCTGTGCCCACCTTCTCTATTTTCTTGGAAATTTGGTTTTCTTCCTAAGTTTTGGATGCCTTATCGATTGCTAGTTGACAGTGAGAGCTTTAACAGGATCAACTTGGACCGATGAAGAGGTTTGTTTTCCTGTGTGATTGGCAACCTAGCAGTTCTTCGCACTTGGTATTCTCCTAAGTGGCTAGAGGACGGTCTCGTTTGGGTCTACTTACCGCAAAAAGCCATATTTTCCTTCTCACTGATGAGAGTGGCTTAATATTTAAGCATTTAGATTTTAAAATCATAATGGGAAAAAATTCTTGTTTTAATGTTAAAGCCACGGTTTTATTAGAAATATATATAGTGCTATTCAGAGGATAAGGATAAGCGTACTTTATTGAAAGCAGGTGGAAGAAAACCCTGTGTAGTATCAATGATGTGCATATTGGGTGACAATTTGCAGATAGAACCTTTATAGTTGGGTGTCTGCGCAATTAGATTATGGGAAAATGTGCTCTTGGTCCGTCCACAGAGTACTATATTCAGCATCTCTGAAGCATCAGTTACTGCTCAGAAGCTCAAGTGTACTGTGGTTTTGAGTAGAGGCTCCAGAGTTAGGAAGTGCAGACACACCTGTGGTAATTCGTGTAATCTTGAGGTTACCTATTTTTTCCTGTGCTCAGTTACTTATCTTGTAAAATAAGATTAATAGTAAAACATAACCCACAGAGAGTTATGTAGATTGAAATAAATCTACATAGCTGTAAATTGCTTAGCACCGAAGCTAGCACAGCTTAGTAAAACATAACCCAAAGAGAGTTATGTAGATTGAAATAAATCTACATACGTGTAAATTGCTTAGCATGGAAACTAGCACAGCTTAAGTGCTTAGCAAGGATGAACCATTATCTTCATGTAGAGTGACTGTGTTCATAATGCCCATTCTTTTTACAGGGCAATATGTGTGACCCAAACAGAATTTGTGTTTTTGTTGTTGAAAAACCTGTTGGCATTTGGTTTTTTGGTTCTTTATTTTTAAAATATATGTGAACATTGCACTTAGCATAAAAGTAGTAAAAGTTCGTGGTACCAGGCCTTTGACTATGATCTGCATATAAAATACTCATTCAGCATTTATTGAAAAAGTGAATGGAGTTGTGGCTCTTATTTGCAGATATAAAGTCAAATAAAACATGGTGCTTAAGGAATTTACCAAAATATAACTTGGGCAGCAAGGGCGTAACTTGGACAACAAGGAGGTCAGTAAGTAGTGTTGTGTGTTATATAGAAACAGAAGTGAGACACAGATGATTCTGGGGAAATTAAAGATGACTGCAATCTAGAGTCAAAGGACAAATAGAAGTTAGCTAGGTGAAGATTTGGGAGAGGAGGTATTTATGGTAGGGGAACATTCATTAATTTACGTAACACACATTAAGAGCATATATAGAAACGGTGCTTCGTGTATGTTGTTTAATCTTAACCTTATTATGTAGCATATTGTTATTCTCACTTCAAATACAAGAGAGTAAAATAAATGATGAGATCTGGAGTTAAGCCCATATCTCTGTATCTCTAAGATTCATCTGTTTTTTTTCTATCTTGATAACTTATGTAAAATGAAAGAGATTGTGAAGAATTTGAAATTGCTGCTTCAGTCAGAGAAAGTGGTTAGCTGGGCATTATCGTGACATGCATGTTTTTGTGTAATGATAATGCTTATTTTTACATATACCTCAGTTATTTCTTTTGCTAAAAAGTAGAAAAGCAGAAACACCATAAAACTTATACTCTGTCCCATTGCCCAGAGACCACTGGCCAGGAAGCTATGAAAATAATGCAGAGGTATAACACCAAATATGATGGGTGGAGTCAGGCTTGGTAGCCACAAAGTTTCAAGTACCTAAAAAATAAATTAGTATAGGCAGCTCAGTGGCTAGGGTGCCAGCCACATACACTGGAGCTGGCGGGTTGGAATCTAGTGCAGGGCTGGCAAACAATGAAAACTAGAACCAAAAATTAGCCAGGCATTGGGACCAGTGCCTGTAGTCCCACTTACTTGGGAGGCTGAGGCAAGAGAATCACTTAAACCCAAGAGTTTGAGGTTGCTATGAGATGTGATGCCATGGCACTCTACTAAGGGTGACATAGTGAGACTCTGTCTCAAAAAAAAAAAAAAAATAGCAAAGGAAGAAGAATAATTGTGGAAGAAAGATAATGATTCCACTTTGGGACATGTTTGAGGGAGTGGTGTGATATTTAGGTGAATATGTCCATTTAGAAATAAATGATTGAATCTTTGGAGAGAGGTCAGGACAGAGATTTGGGAGTATTCTATACTTAAAAAAAAAAAAAAAGTTGGCATCCTAAGATTGAAACAGAATGCCAAGGTTTAGAACAAGAAGAAAACCATCAGAAAAGATGAAAAGGACTGTGAGATAAGATGATCAGTTTCTTATATGGCTTGTTGAAATCTGTCTCATTGCTTTATGTCGCAAATCATTACATGCATATAAAAGCAAAGATCATGTGAATGGGCATGTGGTGGGTAGACAATTTTAATGTCTCAGTATGTTCATAGCATGTTGGTTGAGTGACACTGAGTTATGAGAATATTGAAACTGAGTGATCAATAGTTCATTTCAAAAATTTCTTTTTGAGACTTCCTGTAATGTGGAAAATTTCATATTCCACAAACATATATAAATAGAACTTCCATCAAACAATGTATAATGTAATCATAGCTTTGCCATTAGTTGTTCTTAAGCTTTATTTTAATACACAGTATATTTTAAATTATAGTTTTGAAAAATTTACAGTATTTACTGTTGGGGCATGTAAGGCGAAAAAATAGTTTTCTCAGATTTTAGTTATAATCAAGAATTTTGAATCTTGTATAACTCTTAAATTTCACAATTATTTCACAACAGTAACTTTGCAGAATCAATGGATAATTTTAGGGCTTTTTCAATTAATATTGTTTTAGAACAGTATTATTACTGGAAACTTTGGATAGTTTAAAAATTGAACACAGGTGTTTAAGAAAGAGGATACTGGCTCATGCCTGTATACCCAGCTCTCTGAGAGGCCAAGGCCAGTGGTTTGGTTGGACTCAGGAGCCTGAGCAAGAGTGAGATTCTGTCACTGCTTTAAAAAAAAAAAAAAATAGCTAGGGGTGGTGGCAGGAGGCTGAGGATCCATAAGCCCAAGAGTTTGAGGTTGCTGTGAGCTGTGATGCCAGGGCCATCTGCCCAGGGCAATAGAGTAAGGCTCTATCTCAAAAAAAGATAAAAAGAGAACACAGTCGAATTTGGTAGCCTGAAAAGTCATTAACTGGAATATTTAAAGTTTAATTTTTTTAATTATGTTATACTTTATAAAAATTTGTGAATATAACTTCATTGAAAGATCAAATTTTAACAGTAACAAAACTTTGTAAGTAGCCACAGGCATATTTACAATTTTTGTCTACAAAAATGAAGTTACATTCATCTGAATTAAATGCAGTTCTCCTTTATTTTGGCACATATAATTTATAGTTGATTATGTAGACTTCCTAGTCTATGCTAGCATCCTGTATTAAGATTGTAACATTAATTCTTCTATGACAGTGCTACCAAGGATATAATACATTATTATTATTATCATCATTAATTCTAAAGCTAGAACTGAAGTTAGTAGCCTCAAGTAGATGCCCTTTTCCTGGCATTTGCCTGACAGTTTCTCTATTTATAACATGAATGTGTAGAAAAGTGCAATGAACAAGTTAACTGAGAGAATTTCTGTTTGGTAGGACAATTGTAATTATGTAAGGATGGAGGGAACAGTTAGGTGTCATTTGCTTAATGGTGGAGGAAAATCTATATGACCTCTTAGAATCTTCCCCATTACTGCTGGATGGAAAAGTCCACAATTGGTTAGAATTACTTCTTATAGTGTACATTGTGATGACCTCTTTAGGTTAACTTTTCTAAGTTGACCATCCAAGCTGAGTAACTCATGGGTCTAGTCAGCATAAGGAACTAGGCCTACTGTACTGATACGTACATGTGTGCCTGTTCAGTCTATGAATATTAGGTCAAGTTAAGGAAGTGGTCAGTGTAGGGAAGTGGTCAACTATGGAGGTTCTAGTGTATATAAAAACATAAAAACCAGAGGTTATGTACATTCGTCATTTGGGAGAAACAAAACCACATTTAGCAAATAAAATTTAAATTTACTATTTAAATCTAAGTAGTAGCATAGTGGCTCATGTCTATAATCTCAGCAGTTTGTGAGGTCAAGTGGATTGATCACTTGAGCCCAAGAGT